TGAAACTTCAGAGATGTCTAGATGTGCAAAATTCCTAATTTCCTACATTCATGTACTTAAAGTTTACTTTTCTATGAGTCCAGACTCCAGAGACTGTTTCTTACTTCTTACTTCCTACTTCTTCTACTTCTGTCACAGTGAAGTTGACCTTTGACCGTTTAATTCATCAGCACCGTCAGTCTTGAGTTTTGGCCACAGATATTTATTGGTGACCTTTGACCTTTCACCACCAAAATCTAATCAGTGGCCATTTGTGCTAAAGTAAAGAAACTCACCTGAGAACATTCAGAGGGACGGCTGGATTAAGTCTTCTTTGTTCATACCATCCTTTGAATGTGTGTCTGCACGTGTTTGATTTGCGTGATCTCACCTGGGGATGTCGTCGTCTCCGGTCATGGCCCTGGGCAGCGGCGAGTATCTGGGAGTGGTTAACGGAGCGGGGCTCACAGACTGACTGCCGCTCATGTAAGGGCTTATGTGGTTGTCTTGATGTGGGGAGTACGCTGGAGGGACACAAACAAGCATAACTCAATATTTTTTATTTTACTGTCGGACATGAGAATAATTTCAGGAATCGGTAAAAAGTAAATTTTTACGGTTCTAAGAAATATGATTAAGTTGTGATGAGTGTAAAAGTCTGACGGCAGGTTTCCTGACACAACAAAAAAACAGAGGACAATAGGATTAATGTTGTTCTGGGTTTTGTTTCCTGCTCTTGTCATAGTAATTTATTCTGAAAATGTCTCTTTTAGAATCTGCTCAAGTCAAATGGTAAATCAAAGAACTGTTTCACTGAGAGTTGCTCATGAGGCTGCACAAGTTTGATCAGGCAAACCCACGTTATGCAGTTACCTATGATGTGTGGTGTGTGTGTGTGTGTGTGTGTGTGTGTGTGTGTGTGTGTGTATTTACAGTTGGTGACGTCAGGAGGAGGGAAGTTGTCGTTGATAAAAAGGGAGGTGTGTTTGGCCACACGGAGGTACACGACATCAGGAGTCGACTTTAGGGCAGCCACCGCCTCCTCGTGAGATACCTCCTCCAAACAGGAGCTGTTCACCTGGAGACACGCACACACACACACAGACACACACACACACACACACACACACACTCATTGTGTTAGACAAAGACTGAACACACAGACACTAAAAAAGAGGTGAGAGTTTGTACTGTTTTATAATTTGCAAAATGTGAGTTTGATTCTCACAGCTACAAGTTTGTCCCCGATCTGTAGCCGTCCGTCTTTGTGTGCGGCCCCTCCCTCGATGACTTTCGTCACGTAGATGCTGTTGTCGCCCGGCACATGTTGGTTTCCAACTCCACCTGCTATACTGAATCCTAAACCTGTCACAAAACACATCATACATTAACTTCAGTTACATGACCTCCTTAGGGTCATGTGCAAAATGAATCTGCAGTAGTGGCACATATTAGATTTTTCCCTCAGACACAAACAAATCATTGTTCCCTCATTGTCTCCTAAACCTGAACATCAGCAACATTTTGATTAAACACATAATGTGCTAGAATACAATATCTCACTGTTGTACTGACACAGACTGCTCATGCTGTGTTTACTCACCTTTTGGCCCTTTGACCAGCTTGATATCCATGATTCTCTCAGTGAGGCTCCTCCTGCGTCGTATGCACAGTCGGACGAGACCTCCTGCATCCTTCAGCGCCTCCACAGCCCCGCTGTGGGTCACCTCCCTGACGTCTGCCTCATTTACTCGCACTATGCAGTCATTCACCCTGCACGTCAGTCAGAAGCAGTAAAGATGTCATTTGAATTGCACGAGGAGATAAATGATGGAGAAATGCAAATGTTACTGTCCCTCACTCACAAACTAGACGGGATAGAAATGCATTTGCTTTTGTTTTTTTCAAGGTTCAGTTAAGGTCAAGATATGTGACTGATGTGTGTAGCGCACTGGTGTTAAATTGCTTCATTGACTCTGGTTGCGTTGCCACTAAAGTGAAGCGAAGACTCATTTAGAGGAAACGCTTGGTTCAACCTGACATCTGCTGTTCATGAATCAAGAGCTACTCTGGAACCAGCGGCTGTAAAATCACTCTCGAGGGCAAGACAGTAAATTCCAGTGTTGGTCACAGTAACTGAAAAGTGAGAAAATACTAAAAACGTTCAGTTGATTGTTTCCGTCCATTAAAATCTTTGATTGACTCTGACGTCTTTGCTAAATGGGCGACGACAGAACTGCTGTCTGACTTTAATATTGTGCTACGACATTTAATTCATGAATGCAAACCAATAACTATGAACAGAAACTAATTGCCACTGACACTGAAAGTTACGCAGGAAGATTTTTTGCTGTGTTTGTAGCATCCAAAGTTTTTAACAAAATTTAAATCCATGTCGTCTCGAGTGAAGCTCAGGCTGCACTTTACTGTCAGAACCCATCTGAACATGAGAGGAAACTAAACAAGCTCGACCTGAACCGACAGGAATTCTGTTTTTTGTCCAAACCCAGTTAATGTAAGATGCAATGAGTTTGCGTTACCCTGTCTCTAACCTTGGACATAATCAGTTTAGTGGCTTTTGTGTGTAATCCTTCAAACTAACTAACCAACACCAGGTACTTTGGTACATTTTGGGATAAGATGTGTCTCCAGGGAAATAATGTGCGCTGTCATATTTTACAAGAATGTGTGATGGTACCTGAGTCGTCCATTCTGAGCTGCGGCCCCTCCAGGTATAATCTTGGTGATGAAGATGGAGGGGTCTTCTCCGATGTGGGGGTTATCGGTCCCTCCTGCGATACTGAATCCGAGGCCTGAGTTACCCTGCGCACGCACGCACACACACACACACACACAGTGAGTTTTAATGAAGAATATATGAGTGTGAACAATGTGACAACAATGTTAGAAAGATCTTTATTAAAATCTGCTCAGTTTTTCCTCTTTTGTTGGTTAATTCTAATTCTTACATTCCTTTTTTTTGTAATAAATAAAGTTGCATACAAATTATGTAAATATCACCCACAACAAACTGAGAACTATAATCTTTCCTCAGGATTAACAGCTCGTGTTGACAAAATCTCACAAATTATCACCACATTACCACACGACATTAAAATACTGTATATAAACAAATCAGAAAGAAGCATCTCCTCCTTGTTGTTCATGTCCAAACTTCTTTTAATATATACCAGCTCTTCTCTTCAGATAATAAACACGTAGCTCTCCAGGTATATATAACAGATCACCTCCATACATTGAACATGCCACCTGACTGCAGCCGTGACTCTGTCCACGTTCCTCTCGCTCTCTCGTGCTCTGTCACCGGGTATAAAGCTGTAAATGTGTGTGTAATGTCTGTGCCTGTGTTTGCGTGTACGTCCATAGCGTCTTTAAAGCAGATCCAGTCAAGCAGACAGATCCAGGTCACAGGAGAATAGAGTGAGAGAGGGAGACGGACGGAGAGAGAGCCTCAGGGCGAGAGGAGAGGGGAATATAATGAGAGAGGAGGGGGAGAGAATCGGGAGAGGGAAGTGGTAAAGGAGGGACGAGAGAGGACGGGGAAATAGGGTCAGAGGAGTCGGACGAGTGATGGGACTGAGTGAAGGAAAGAGCAGAATGATGAGAGGGAGGAAGAAGAGAGAGAAGATGATGAGGGAGTTTTATCTCTCTGCCTTTATACGTTTATTTCATGCTCTCTGTGCAAAAGATTCTATTTGTTCTAGTAATGATCAGAGGAAAAATAGTTTGTCGTGGAAACTATGGTCCCAAATGTGTCGTCCAAAAAATAATGAATAACTTTATTTATGTGCATTTGTTGAACAGGGCTGTCATTTAACTCATTATGTCTGCAGCTAGTAAAAATGATTATATCATATTCACTTGATATTCTTACGGAAATTAATTTGGGATCAAATTCAAATACTCAGTGAAGCACAAGAAACTAAAAATAGAACTTAAGTACCAGATCGAGGGATAATATCGGCCGATAAGATATTTTTTTATTTTAAAACATTTATGTTTACATTAAATATATTTTCGAGTTAAACTTCAGTATTTGTTCTTTTATTTAAATTTTATGATCTGTGAAATATCAAGCCTCAGTTCCATTTCTTTGTCATAGAGGGTTGATATATTTAAAAAAAACATTTACATTATTTACATATGTTTTTTAAATATATTTTAACTTTAATAACTCTTAATTTGGAAACAGAATCACATACACTCAAAACACCAACTTTATTTTGAAGCTCACAGGAGGTGAGGACAAGCAATACTCCTTGTTTTTTGTTATCGTGATGATGGAGGAGGAGGTTCAGGGAGGACAGAGGTCAGACTGAACAGATGGAGGTTCTGTCACCAATGACTGATGTGACTGATGTGACTTTTAGAGTGTGTGTGTGTGTGATGACACGCATGTTGTTGGTGTGTTGTCAGTGTAGGATTTTACCCGCTCCAGCGTGATTTCCTCGTACTCATAGTCTGCTTCTGTTCCATTGACCTGTTAGAGAGGAGGAGGAGGAGGAGGAGGAGGAGGAGAAAGGAGAATTAGAAGGTAAAACTTCAGGACATGAATAAAATACAATTAATGTTGATAATTGATTAATTGAGTCGATTTTCAAGCTCAAAGGAGAAATATTTATGGTTTCAGTTTGTGAAATTTAAATCTGGGTTATTTTATCTTTAATTTTGTACAACAGGAGGAAGTGGAGATACGTCCTCCGTCTTTAATCACAGTCCAAGGTTTCAGACTCTTTGACAAAATCACATATATAACTAAGGATGAGATGCAGTAGAGAAAATAATTAGCAGATTCATCAATAACAAAAATGATCATCTTGTTCTGTGGCACGTCACTTTGTGTTGGCACGAGCTTCATCCTCCTACTGCATCAAACTTTCGGGTTAATCACATCTTAAATATCTCACTGTTTCTACAGCACAAATAATATACATGGAATATTCACTCATCAGCTAATATCTACAGCAACAAATACGTATGATAGAAAAGTGAATTTAGTGTTTTTTTATTATTCTTTATGAATGACGCATGAATCCCCCAGATTAAGCTGATAATGCGTACTTAATGATGATGTATCTCTGATGTCACAGTTGAGATCATCCCTGATGAGTTGCTCGTGAGCCAATCACAGAGCTCAGCCAGGACTGTTCGTACTATAAAATATATTAACGTTGTCTGACTGAATGAGAAGCACACGGAGTTAAATCTGATCTGGGCAGACTATTTCATATTCTGAGTCCCACTTGGTTTAAACTGGGAGATGATGTTCCTCCTGCTGTAGCTGCAGACACACACACACACACACACACACACACACACACACACACACACAAACTCAGAGTGGTCGAGTGGCATCCCAATGGCCCAATGTAATCCCCTTGGCTGTAATCTGTGTCTGTGCAGTCAGATTAGTTTAGAATTTGAATTCCTGTCATTTCAAACAATCTCTCATCAGCCACCATGTAAAGTCAACTATTATCCACCGTACACAGATATTTAAGAACATATGTAAACTGGATTTGGTCGTGGTCATTGGTTATCTAGGATGAAATGAAATTTTTGAAAAAGCTGGTAAACATTACTTCTGGTAAAAGTTGAGGACAATAGTTTACTAGCATTGCAAAAGTCAGATTCCTGTAAATACATTTTGAGGATATCAAAGTTTGATCTAATGTTTGTTAAATCTATGTTTTGAATTTCTCAGTTGGCTACTAAAGAAACTCCGTTGACTTTTATGGTTGTTTCATGTATTATTCGCATTCTTGTCAATGATCACATCAGTGAAATATGAAGTGAAATCTTTTTTCTTCATGTTTTATTCCGAGCAGCTCAGCAGGGAGTCATTCTATGGTAATCACATAATAAACTTATCTAACGACAACACACGACACTGATTCTCTCTGGCAGCTGGCAACCAGTAAAAATGACATCTGCATCTGATTCTGGACTGAGCTTTTGGTCCCAAACCAGGAGGTTACGATCACATATTAATATTACAGTTCTCAGTAGAAGCTCCTAAATGTGTTGCAAGTATTATAACCTTTGACATTATATTCTTATGGCTGGCAATGAGAACGAATACTTACTTAAATAAATGTATTATTCTTGTAGAAGTTAAAAAAAATAACTTTTCTTCGATCATGTCCCAAAGGTGGAAAATAATTGAAACACAAACACTGAAAACTCATCATATAATGAATTCAGTCAGTGGATAAAGTCTTCTGATAATTAATGGAACTGTAACTAAATATATTTTCTGTTTGCATGTGATGAACTTTGCATATTCACCTACACTACAAACAAGAAGCCATGAGGTTGTGTGATTTAACTTCACTTGACTTTGGTTAACAAAATAAATTCAGTATCATGGTCATTATGTTAGAGCCAGGACTCACATATGGGGGCGTGTCGACGCTGTCTGTGTTGACCACCACCGGAGGGGGGTTGGCCTGCAGGAGAGAACAGAGCAGAAGTGTCAGTCATTTTATTATCATGGAAACAGACATACAGACAGACAGACAGACACACACACACACACTAACACAATGACTTACTCTTCTCATGTTTTGGTACAGCATGTTGAAAACCTCTGCTAAAGATTACCACCATGGAGCGCCTGCATACACCGCATGACATACTGCACAGCCCTTATACTAGACAGTACTAATGTACTACACTGACGACCACACTTTAAAGTACTGCCCGGCCATCAAGTACATTTTACTACGGCGCCACAAAGTACTGCATGACAATAACATTAGTGTTTCAGATTGACATTATCTTAATTGTATGTCTTGAAAACACACAGAGTCCACACGTCTCTTGACTCAAACTTTCCTCCAAGTGGTTCTCCTCTACTCTCCAGTGTCTGTCTCCTCCCTTGTCTCCTTCTACAGTCCAGGCCTGGACAGATGACAGCTAACAGGGGTTAAAGCAGCAGCAGATAACTGATATTATATTTCCTCTTCCCTCCCACGCAATCACGGAACATGACAAACCTCACACTGAATCACATAAATAGCAACAAGGTGTCTTTTCCTCCCTGTGATTTCAAGGGGAGTATCAGCCCTTATCTTATCATTCCATCCTTTCACCTCCTGCCTCCCTGTGTCCTCTGATGTCATTTAACGCTCGCCTCCCCAGCGTCTGCAGCTCTAGTCAACACACCATCAAGGAGCGAGTCAGTCCAGCTGAGACAACCTGCAGCTTCACTTTTCTTCTGCAGCTGCAAAAAAAGTTAAACCAACTAGAAAACAAGGCGGCGACCAAATGGACAGTCCACCCCGAGTTCACGGCATCAGCACGGAACAGAGCGGCAGCAGCATCAGCATCTATCGCTCAACACTAATCTGGACCTCTCTCACCCCCCTTTCCACTCCTTTATCTTCTTTCTCCCTCTCGCACACACATATATTATCTCACTCCATGTGTCACTCTCTCTCCACCACATGTCCAACTGTCTGTCAGTCAAACTGGCTGGAAGCTTGATCCCACAAGGGAGCAGAAAGGGGGTGGGGCCGGGGGGCTGGCGGGATCAGAGGGGATTATAGGTAGGGTGGGAGGAGTCAGATGTGTCTGCTCAACAACAACAGTGATGAGGAGCAGAGGGTGCACGCATGCATGCACACACACACACACACACACACACAATAAAAGACCCTCACAAATGCACAGACGCAAGTGAAAAGTGAGAGAAATGAAAGGAAATGTGGGAACAGACGTTGAGGAAAGGCGGAGAAAATGAAAGAGATGAAAGATACTGAGGAGACAGAAAGGACGTGCTGACACTAACAGCTGCTCGGATCCGTGTCTGTGTGTGTGTGTGTGTGTGTGTGTGTGTGTGTGTGTGTGTGTGTGTGTGTGTTCATTTGAAAGAAGGGAAGAGATACTTGAGAAGAGGAGGGTAAATATGATTATTGCATAATTGAGCTTTTTATTCAGCATCTATGCAATTTATTATAAAATATAGAAGTGGCTGCACTCCCAGGTGAGCCGGCCGGTGTGTCTCATACAGAAGCTTGAGTCTCTCTCTCTCTCTCTCTCTCTCTCTCTCTCTCTCTCCATGTCTTCTCAATAAAAAAAGGCCCAAAAATGTAACTTCATGTTATCACTGCTTTATTGAAGCGATCCCAAGGTTTTGTTGGTATTTCTCGATGAAGTAAGTCGACAGATACTCAGTGATATCTGCACTCTGGTATTTAGTCAACACAAGTTTAGTTTGCTGGACACACAACGTTAGCTGTCAAACACTGTGCATGAACAGTGTGAATCTATTGCTACTGGAACTGTTTCCTTTCTCCCAGAATTTCTTCAGGTTTGTTATTTCTTTAGTTTCAACAGAAAAGTGATTGATTCATCCCGAAACATTACCTTCATGATTCTAACGGCGTCACACACAGTAGTTAGACCCGTGTGTGTGTGTGTGTGTGTGTGTGTGTCATTCACAGAGCGACAAATCCAGTCGGTCAGTCAGCCGGTGATTCCATTGACACGCCTTGTCAGACTGGCGCTTATGTAACATATGTGTGTGCGTGTGTGTGTGTGTTACATGAAAGGCCAAAAGTACAACTGTGTACAAATATAAACAAACAAGAACACACACACAAACACACACCATACACACACAAACAGGCGCACTCATCATCCATATCCAGACAGTGTTTTATTCCTCTACGCAAGTGAGTGTCAGCTGTTACATAAATGCTGTTACACCAGCCGTGTCATTGTTGGGGCATTATGGCCTGGTTCAGTCCAGCTCGGCACGGCTTAGAAACAGATCCAGACTATCCCTGTTTGTCTCATCAGGCAAAGAGACACTGAAACAAACAAGTGATTTATGACCAGTTGTCATGCGACAATATGTGGGACAGATAAAGAAACATTAAAGTATTGGAGTGTGTGTGTGTGTGTATTTGTGTGTGTGTGTGTGTGTGTGTGTGTGTGTGTGTGTTTGTGTGTCTCTTTAGGTCCAGCATAAACACTCATGGGGGGCAAATGACGTCAGATGTCAATTAAGATTTTCAGAGTGTCCACAATCAATCAGAGAGCATTCCTCCACCAAGGTCCCCTTATAAGACCACATCTAAATTCATTAGATCTGATTTTTTATTTAGATCCACACCAAATTGCACAAATACATAAACATCAGTCGCTGAAATATGGGAGATCTCTTTCATCAATATCCATGAAATATTCTCTGAGAAATGAATGAAAATAGCAAAACATCCTCTCTAAGAATAATAAAGAAAGTTCCCTCTATACCACATCCTGCCATTAAGTTTTGTAAAAATCACTCCAGTAGTTTTTTTGTAATCATGCAACAAACAACGGACAGGGAGGAGGTGATGAGAATAGTTGTTCCAAACCCATGTGTTTGTGCGAGTGTGTGTTTGAAATGACCCCCCCATCACAGGGTGCCGTGTTCAGCTTCTAAACCAACATCATTATTATCAATTAGCTAATTAATCAGTATTAAAATAATCAGTCAGTGCACTGTGCCAAGTCCTGACAAGCACACACTTAAAACATGCAGTATAAAGTCTGAAGCAAAAAAAGGAGGTCAAGAACCGAATCGAAGACGATTGATTGGACGCAGCTCAAAAGTTTCACTTAATTCAAAGGTTTATTTTCTGACCTCAGTAGCTTCACATTCTGATTATTTATAGCACGGAAGAGCCGAGGAGCAAACACACGTTCATACACATAAACCCGACACTAATACTACAAATCACTCCGTCTTCCTCATGTGTAATGAAACTCCACTTGACTAATGAGTAGATGAAGCGTGACTCTAATCAAATCAGAACGGCTAATCACGCTAATCAGACTATAACCTGCTATGTGTGAGCAAAAAGAAAAACTGCCACCACAACGTCCAACAGGAGTTTATACAACAGACAAGTCCTGTCACACATGGATGCCTTCGCTCTCTTGATTATATCACAGGGGAGGGGAAATTGACCATAACCACTCTTACACCGCTATTATCATCATTCTGCCATGTTCACTCACATGTATGCTTTATTATGCTATTAGTTCTTCTGGTAAAACTCCCACTTTCACACAATCCTCTTGGTCCGTTAGTTTCCTAAATTTCCCAGAATTACTCTGTGTCGCTCAGAGGCAAACAGGATCAAATCCAGCGCATGCACACGCACACACACACACACACACACACACACACACACACACACACACACACAC